GTTGATCAATTCCAGATTTGATAATGAAGTAGAAGCTCTGACTCTCACATGTGAAAGTTATTGACCACCGACATGAAACTGAAATAATTAAGAACTAAGTCGAAGAGCATTAACATAACTACTACATTCAGCACAATAATTCCAATTTTTTATTTATATAATTACATATTTATACGATCTATTGCGGAATAGACATAACAATGGGACTATAAAATGAATTCTATAGATTAGAATAATTGTCATGAAATGAGCATTTGAAATGAATGCGAAACGTTTGAACTCTTGAATATTATATTTCGATTGCAGTGCTTGATATGACTTTAATATTCTGAATTTCGCATTGAGATAAAGTCTCTTGTGTGTATTTATCGGAAATATCTATTTTTTCGAGTGATATCTTATTATTGATTGACTGAATTCATTTTTTTTGTGGAGGAATCAGGAGTTTTGGTGACTTTTCTGGGACTATAAATCAAACCTGTTTAGTTATTTTGTAAAAGCAATATATTTTCCTCAGAAAAATATTTTATGTTCATCAGTGATTGCATTTATAAATTTTGCCTATCGTCAAGAATTTTATAGGGCACTTATCATGATGTTTCGGAAACCTGAATCTGGCTCCGTATTAAGAATTTAAAATCAGCTTTTTCGTAGTTTTCTCGCGAGTTAATTTATTTCGATTAGATTCGATTAGCGATTTGTTATTTTTTTTTTATATTGGCAGACTTGTGTCGAACATATATTTACAGTTTCAGCTATTTAGCATGTTTAGTTTGTTGGTGAGAGGCATAAAGAGTAGAAGTGTTTTGCGTGTGTGGGGCTTTTCTGGTATCAAAAAAAATGGAATTTGCATAAAATTTTGTATAAAAAATGGAATTAAGTGCTCAAAAAAGAAAACACTTAGATAGTTGACAGAGGCATGAGATGCATGGAAATTGATGAATAATGAAACACGCAATGATGAATGAAAATTCACCTGTGTTTGAACAGATTTCGTATGTAGAAATTGCATTCGATATAGTAAAAGATGTTTCCTGACATCAGTTTATTGCCATTTCGCTACTTTCTACATTTTTTTCAAGATGGGGACTTGAAAATTGTTCTATACTGAGTTGTCACCAGATATAAGAGTGTATGCTGATTTTTTGAGATTGGCCTTTTATGAAATCGTTCATTGGTTATTGTTTTAGAATTACTCCAACAATGTGTGGAGATATTCACAACATCTCCAAAAAATTAAGATTCAGAAGTACCGTGGGGTCACCCTGTACATGTATTGAAATCCAGACTTGACAAGAAACAAGTACGAAAGAGTCGGAAATTTATATTTCAAAATTTGTGTACCAAATTTTAATAATTTACAAAAAACAGACAACCGACATAGGTTGTAAATTAATATCAGATGAAAACAAAATGATAGTTGTTAAATAAAATTGGAAGATACATAATAAACTTATTGTAAATATTTAGAAATGATGAAAAGTTTGAATAATATTGTTGTAAACCATTTCCTTAGATACGAACATCAAGTGATGCTTTTGAAGAATTTTGATATTTAGACATGAGTGAGGTTAACCATTCATTTACATAATTGTTGAGTAAATATGTACTTAAATTTAGGAACAAGTAGCAAAATCGTAGAACAGATAGTTTTTGTGATATTGAAGTTGAAAATTTTAAGTTATGAAAATCGGGAATTGGTAACTAAGGAAAGTAAGATATTTTCAATTTTTTTTTATCAACAAGAGGATTCTTCCCAAGGTGACGAAGATGGACGCCACGAAAAATTTTTGTCTCCAGAAATTAAATAAGAAGAAAATAAATAAGAAAAGTTAAAAAAGCATATATTATTGTATTGAATAATGATAATTAAATGTAAGTTCAGTTAAAAACCAACCTGATGAGCCAGATCGAGTCCAAATCCAGTGATTGAAACATTCCCAACAAAGTGGAGAGGAATCCAAAGGTTGGAAAACTTAGTTTATGTGAAGTTATCCACGCTTTTCTAGCCACGCTTTTTGACGTGTAGACCATCGACATCGAGATAGAGGAGATTATCCGTCCACTGTTGGCAAGTTTCACATAATTCCTAGCCACGCTTTTGTATGCCCCAAATTGTAACATATTATGAAAATAATAGTTTGAGGAGATTTCAAGGATGCCCTGAATGTAATAGAAACGAAAGATTCCTAATGTATCAATGTCTTATCTTTTAATTTATTGAAAAAATTTTGCAGAGTATGAAAGTGGAAAAAATAAAAACTGATATTTTTGACATATTTTTTCATATATCTCCGGTAATAGTGGATGACTGATGATCAATTTTTCACTGTGATGTAGCACATTATTCATAGATGACAATTACAAGATCAAATCAATTTGCAGTGCCGTCGAAGAAGGTGTAAAAAATAAAAATTAAATTTTTTTTACATATTTTTGCTTATATCTCAGTTAATAGTGTATGATCGATGATGGCTTTTTCACTGTAATGTAGCACATTATACATAGATATCACATACAAGATCAAATCAATTTGCAGTGCCGTCGGAGAGGGTGATACATTTTCTTAATTCAGTTGTGTCTTTTTCAAATTCATTCACAGAAACACCTGTTAGTAAGATCATTTTGGGTAAGTAATCGTTGTATTTGTGCTTGAATCCACCTGAGATGTTGAAAAAAATCTCAATACATTGACTTATAGGGATTTCAACTCAACATAAGAGTCTACCTAAATCAAAATTTTTATTTCATTAATAATAAATACAATAATATTAACTATAATTGAATTAACAAAACTCACAATATCATATACTGGTGGGGGAATATGCTGATGTGATTCACTATAACTTATTGCAACTGAGCCAAACCGTGAGGTGTAGTTTATGAAATGAGTTTGACTGTGTTTCTCACGGCATCGAAATTGAATGAATACGGAATCAGAGGAGTTGCACTTTTCCTCTTCAGCTCTTACTTGAACAATCGTAAACAATGTTTTGATCTTGGTGAAAATAGAACTTCGGATCTTTTGCTAATCGAATCTGGAGTACCACAGGGTTCGGTTTGGGGATCTCTGTTGTTCATCATTTATGTGAATGACTCCCTATTTCACTTATTACCATATAAATGAGTAATCTATACAACTCTCCTATGTACTAACCAAAACTGTAAGAACTTGCTTGCCACAATGAAAATTGTCGTAAATCAGGCTGAGAAATGATTCAATGGTAAACTTTTGAAACTAAATGATGATAAAACTCAAACTATCACATTCTCTACAAATAATAACATAGCAAAAGGTGTAACTGTCAAACTATTGAAACTACTCGATACTCTCCAAATGTCTATTTCTACTCAGGAAATTGAAGAATTTTGTGGACTTGAACAATTTTTTATCAGCATATAATGCTTTTTTCATACCCATGTTAGCTACGGCTAGTTACTTTGGGGAAATTGTCCCAATGCCGAGAAAATATTTCCACTACAAAAACGAGCTATTGAAATCACACGTTAAAAGGTAAGACCTTGTTAATCCTTTGAGGGTTGTCGTTCATAAGGGTGCTACCGCTGGTTAACGGGAAAACAGATTTTCAACAGATTTTTTTAACAGATCTATTCATTTCTATTGGAATTTCATCCCCACAAAAACGAACATCTGACCAATCAATAGGTTCATGAACATGGAACTAGAGATGCTATTCTCTTAAGAACACGCAGGCTGAAACTACACAAATCCTCAATCAATACACTCAATGTTAATAGTTATAATATGTTGCCACTCACTATTTTAAAGATCTACCTGTATATAGTTTCAAGAGGTTTACTAAATTTTTAACGACACATTGGTTTTGTAGTATCAACAAGTACCTGGCCATACCAACTCACATGTTTGAATCTGAATCACTTCAATTGCGGCCTTTAATTACCATTTTTTTAGAAATTTCATTTATCATATTATTTACATGATGTTAGTATCTCTCATATATATTTGCGTCACCACTGGTGATAGTTGTGTTTGTTTATTTTTATTTGTAATACACAGGGTGTAACTAAATAAGTGTAAAACATTTAAGGAGGTGATACCTCATCGAGAAAAAGATAGGTTCTTTCATATAAAGAAACTTCATTGGAGCATCCCTTGTTTGTGGAAAACGATACCCCTAAAATTTATTATAGGTATAGCTCAAACATTATTGTTTTGATACAAATGTAATTTTTTAACATAACGTGGTTGAATGAACTATCTACTTACAAAACTGTCTATTTATCTATCTATTCACTGAGATATTACAGTTTGAAGTACCTAGACTAATAAAAACGGCCTGAACTGATATCCTGAACGGACAACCTGATATATGATGCTTAGTTTTCAATAGGATGATGTTATAATTATACTATTATAGAACTTGTGGAAATTGTAAAAATTTCTCATCCGTTTATATTCGAAATCTGAAAGTATACCATTTGGAATAATAATTAAAATACAATATCTTTCTACTTTTTTGTGAAATTAACTTCATTTCATCCCAAAATTATGACAATATTGGCGAAAATTGTAAAATATCTTTCCAAATATACCTATTTCCTCTTCATGATTTTCTAATAAAAATCATGTGATTTTCAAGTAATTCAGATCACGTTACCAGTTATATTTTGGCTTCGAACGAGAACTCGTTTGGAATTAGGTTCACGTAAGTTACATCAATTATATTTAATTACCAGAAAAATTTGTTTGTCTAAGGCCTTACGCGTACGCCTGTTCTCTCGTTAGTGTGACACACCCATGGACGAGCATGTCTGAAAAACCCATTGAGACCACGACCAGCACCATGAAAACTGTGACCTTCCCACCATTTTATTGAAACTTTCAATTACTGCTCGAGTTTTTTCTCCTGAAAATCGGACATGACAAATGTGGATTTTTTTTTCGATTAATGTCAGTGAACGTACCTGTTGGGGTAGGTAATGGTATAAAAGATCTTATTTGCCGGTGGGTAGTTCAGTTCAGTTCAGTTTGTATTCTCAATTGCATTACACAGTGTTACATAATGTTGACTAAGGTAGGGCATCTATTGAATTAGTCATAGTGCATTTTTCAGGAGACATTGTCGTGGTCTATTTTTTTTACTTATTTGATTACAGTCGCATCGACCTCTTGGGTCATTAGCGACTTGTTGATATGATATAAATTTATAAAAAATCAGGAGGAACGTAACATTATATATTTCTCAGATAGTTACAAAAAAATAAAAAAAAACATATGAAGAATGATTTAGATGAAATTCTCATTTGAATTAATGAACATAATTGAGTAGAACTGGCCGATATTAATTGATTTTAATGAACATAAGTTGAAGCTTAATTTCAATAAATGTTCATATACGGTATCATCCCCAAAGTATGCATTATTTGCGTTTTCCACCCCTTACAACCATGGGGTAAACCAAATAAATTTCTGGACAAGTGTCTTTTTGGTAGTACAAAACGTCAGGTTAATTTCAATATTGCAACTTTCTTAGTGCTTGCGAAAAAATTGTCATACAAATTTTATGTACCCCATTTAAGGAGCTGTATCTTAACAAGGGATGCTCCAATGAAATGTCTTTATATGAAAAATCCTATCTTTTTCTTGATGAGGAATCACCTCCTTAAATGTTTTACACTTATTCAGACATCCTGTATTGGTTCTTTTAGGGATTTCAATTCATTTTAAATAATATTAGACAATGAAGTTATTCAATAAAAGAGCAAAAAATTCGATATTCAAAATTCTGTCTCATTTGAAGAAACGAAATCTGTTTCTTTGAATATAACAAAAATAGATCGTCGGCTTCTCTGCTTTCATTTTTATAGTCAAAGCTAGATGATTTCTCATAGCATTATATACCAGCTTGAATGAGCTAATGTGCTTCATTATCATACGTATTCGGAATATATAACTTTTTAATTATGTAAACATTTCGAACCACATTCATGTATAAACTTTTTCTTTAAATATATGTTAATTACTACTACTGAACTGATATGAAAAACTATTTGTTAGTGCGAGACTATTTATAACTGTATTATGCGTAATGATTGTTGATTCAATATGGGTTTTTAACTAGTCTATATATGAGTCAAGGTAGATTTTCACTTTGTTGAGTAAGGCCATTATCAATTAAAACTGTATGCGTTTATGAATTAGCTGATTATTTACACACAATAACTCGTAACTTTTGGAGATATAGAAATAATGAAATTCTTGAAATTTGTATTTGAGTTTACACACCTCTTAAATCGAGCCTATAGGCTAGCAAGGCGAATCCAGCAAAATTGCAAAAAAAAATACATCAATTTGTAGCTAAGTTGGTAATTAGTTGCCAAAACAACGATTTTGTTGCTCGTGCCGATCCCTAGAAACCGCAAATAATGCTATCGTGATATCAAGGTAGCAAAGTAACTCAATAAATTATATACTTTCCCTTTGATCTTTACAGAATATTCAGTTGCTATTTAGTTGCTGAACTGACCTTGCTATCTTGAAACTGTTTTTTCCTGGAATTAAAGATGTTCTAAATTTGTTGCTCACCAAGAATAAACTTAAATACACCTTGAGTAACAGCAACAAAATAGTTGAAACCGATCGGGCGATTTTCAATTTTTTTTTCATTTTCCACGTTCAACTATTTTGTTGCTATTACTCAAGCTGTATTTGAGTATACTGCTGGTGAACAACATCAACTAAATATCAACTAAATATTCTGTAAAGATCAAAGGAAAAGTATATAATTTATTGAGTTACCTTGCTGCCTTGATATCACGATAGCATTATTTGCGATTTCTAGGGATCGGCAGGAGCAACAAAATCGTTGCTTTGGCAATTAATTAGCAACTAATTAGCAACTAATTAGCTATTTTTTTTTTGAAATTTTGCTGGATTCGCCTTGCTAGCCTGATAGGGCTCTTGATTGCTCGTGCTCGTGCAGGATCAACCAATTCAGGTCGAAAGAAGTTGGTATCTATCTGTGGAGTAGGGAGGGTGAGTATAGACTCACAACACTTAGGCCACATGTGACCCATTGTACATCTTCCCGAGGAGTTGTCCTCCTAGGTCATCGTCCATCCTGTCCTTTCTAGGAAGGTGGCAGGTGTATGCCAAGACTCGCCGAACACACACTCTCTTTGGCAACCTTGAGGTGTCCTACGGTGGTCTTCGCAAAGGTTTTGGAAGGTGCAGCGATATAACTGTCGTTGCGCGGCTTCTTCAACCTTCTTGGGGTTTCCTCCGTGGAGGTGCACAAGCGAGGGAGCTTTCCTGCAGGGGCAGCTAGTTCCTTGCCTTTATTCAAGGCGGAGCGCTTAGCGCCCGCCGCAGGAAGTGCCCTTTCTGTTGGTGGTGGAGATGGAGGTGAGTACTTTTATCCAGTCTCGGGATTGGTTTTTGTTATTTCTGTTTTTGTGTTTGTTTCATTCATGTGTGTTCACACGAGTAGCAAGGAAAGAGTTGGTCACCTCTGGTAGAGCCCCGCATTACCAGAATTAGGCTGATTACAATGAGGTTCCGCCCAGTTCCCCAAGGGGATCGTTCATAACCGCATTTCACCCTGCGGCCATTCAGCTGTCGGCACAATTCCCTACACCTTAGCTTGGGTAGGCTTGTTCACGGTGGCATGTTTCGCAAAGGCTTTTGGAGAGTTTTGCTTCTCCTCACCCTACTTATTTCTGCCACTGACCAGGAGTTCGGCTACCCCATCCGTAAGGCCACATTGGCTTCCCGGAGAGGGCCTCCAGTCCCCTGGCTGTTCCTCTATCCGCCACCTGGGGATGAGCCCAATAGGTAGCTCAACCCACGGGGATGGCATGGGTTATGTTGGCTTTGAGGACTGCTGTAATTTGTGGCTTTTTTGCATACACCCATTTAACGTAGTCCAATCTCACGATCTCGGTGGCTAGTTCACATCACCTCCACGTGAGAATATCCTCGTGCAGAATATCCAATGTCGAACGATCTGTGTGGCACGTAGTGCCGTCCTGTTGAAACTACATGACGTTGGTGTCCAGATCATCAAATTCAGGCCAAAAAAATTGGTAGTTATCAACCTTTGGTGCTTGCCGTTGACAGTGATGGCCTGGCCAACGCCGTTCCTAAAGAAATATGGATCGATGACGCCGCTAGCCCAAAATCCACACCAAATAGTAACTTTTTCGGAATGCTTTGGACGCTCTTGGATCTCATGGCGGATTGGTATCCAAACATGGCATCCAAAAATGGGCCTCATTGCTGAAGATAATTTCACGATGGAAATCGGGGTCAGTTACCCACTGCTCCAGAGCCTATTCAGCGAACACACGTCGTTGTCTATGGTCATTTACCTTTAGTTCCTATTATATACAGTACCAAGGTTTTTATGCCGTCACAATAACAAGGCTCAAATTCAATTACGGAAGTTTTTCCGCATATGTATTTAGAATAGGCACAAACAATACTAGCTTATGTACATGTGACGGTAACTCTTTAACTGATTTGAACCATTTATTTTTTGCCTGTAAAAACCATGCTCAAAAAACACAAAACCTACTGTCCACACTTACATCCCTCAATATCCGACTCCCAGTAAACATCACAAGCCTTCTAGCAATGGAAAACAAGTTGATCTGTGATGCACTGATTAGGTTTGTGATAAAAAGTGAAATAATTATATGAATGACTACCTATATCCCACACTCTGTGGCAGAAAGATAAGTCCAATGCCAATCATCCTACACACACACACACACACACACTTTCAGTTCCGGAGTCAGTTGAATTTTGTAAGGGTGCAGGTTCAAGTCACGACGCAGAATTCGCCAAGTTGTGATCTGCGAAAGGCCGAGTACTTGTGAGCGACGCAAAATCGACTGCTTCGGATTCTCTTGCACCCTCTTAGAGATAGCGGCGATGTTGTCGTCGACATACGGGTGTTGGTCAATCGTTTACTGAAGCAGTGGACTGAAATTCATCCATCACATTCCGAATAGTCCTCTAGGTAGGACGATTATGGCGACTGTAAAATGGGTGGAGCGCGCGGTACGTTGCCTAAACAGAGCACAAATTTCGATATCTGCACGTGTTTTTTGAGTGCTATATACGTCCATGGTGATTTGGTGATTTGGTAACTGAATAACTGACAACTAATTTGACAGATGTAGCTTCAACAGGATGACCGTTATGAATTGTCTAAGTTCGGAAGTCCCTATAGAAAGACCCTATACATGTCCATAGGAAACTATCGTTGCTTCTGACCTGATTAAAAGAGTTCTGTTTCATATTTTCAATGAAGATTTTCGAAATTGTGCAAAAAAGTTTGAACAGTTTCACTGAACGGAACTGAACACTTTTCTTTATGAATATTCCTTCATAACCAAGTTGGCATCATCTGAGGTGAAACAAGGAGGCGTTGCATGTGAAACAAGTGTTTTCGTTGAATCGTATTATCATTTGTGATTCATGAGTTTACGGTTACTGTCTAAACTTTTTATTTAAAGATTATTGCCTTCGCTACCCTGGTGGCATCAACTCAAGCTGGTCTTCTAGCAGCTCCTGCAATATCAACTCATGGCATTTCAATAGGACACACATACGCTGCTCCAGCAATCGCCGCCCCTGCTTATGCTGCTCCTGCTTATACTACTCACGCATATGCTGCTCCAGCAATTTTGAAAACTCCAGTTGTAAAGGCAGCACCATCGGTGGATTATGTGGTAAGATCTGTCAGAAATATAATTTGATTCTTTATTGAAAGCTGATTGTGACACAGTGCTTCAACATAACCAAACTTCGGAAAGATAATAATAATAATAAGATGCCTTCATTCATAATATTCAACAGTTCACAAATGCATGTTTAACAAGAATAATGAATGGGCGGCGTTAAGCTGTTGAAGCTGCTTCTAAACCCAACTTCAGACGTACACATTTAATCCATAAGATCACAAAAACATTCAATGTTAATATATCTGTATAAGTATTGCATAATAGTTACATGGAGTAGGCGGAAAAAAATAATAATAATGAATTTAATAAGTGAAGTGGCTGAAGAAATAAATAATTTCATTTCCTTAGAATTGAAGCCACTTTGTACATGTGCCAGAAATCATCGCAAGAGTCATCAGATAGACATCATTACCTTGTTCGGAGAACGACTTTCAAACGTTTTATGAAATGTCTTAAACTGAGGTCTTTGAGTTCATGGGATAACCTATTGTATAGTTTTGCTGTATTGTATGAAAAACTACCTGTGTATAATCCGGTTTTATGTTTTATTTTAAATGAAAGTTTGACACTATCAAGTTTTGTCAGTTTGTAATACTTCCGATGAAAAACCGATGATAAACCCACACTTGGAGATTACCAACCCAAATAAGTAATGTGATGGATTTAGCCAATACCTGATGGAAACTCTCAACGTTCTCAAGTAACTTTCATTGTGAGATTTTCATTGAACATGAACAGTTTACAAAACCTCAACACGTGTTTCACCATACACTAGCCTCCTCAGACAAGCTCATACTAACTCAGTTAGTACTAACTCAGTAGGTATATTACTCTCTTCGAAAAAAACGTAAATTTCCTTTTTTTTTAATATTCATTTTTCCATCCATTTTTATTCCGTCCCCTTCAAAATAGTCCAGCGTTTGTCCAATTCTCGAAGCAGTTCTAATATTAAATTTTTGGTATGTCCTTGAGCGATCTCAGCGATTCGTCCTTTCATGTGTCTCTTCCATCATGGGAACAGAAAAAGTCGCATAGGGTCAAATCTGGTGATTATGGCGGCTGAAGCTTGATTACGGTGTTGTTTCTGGCGAGAAAACTACAAGCAATGACGAGAGAGCAGGTGTATTATCGTGATGTGAAAGCCATGATTTGTTTTTCCACAATACCGGAGTTACTTCCAATTTTACTTCCTGAAATTTCGTTTGGAATGTATTTGTTACAAATCCATTTCCTGTATAACGTGTATGGCAATTTTCTCGAATTACAAGAAACAATTTGAACAATTTGCATCTAATTTTGTATGGAAAATAGAATTAAGTGCTCAAAAACACTTGAAATGTTGTCAGTTGCATACGGTGATTGTACCCTGAATCAGGAAAATGTTTACAAGTGGTACAAGCTTTTTAAAGAAGGTCGAGAAGATGTGGATGATGACACTTACCCTGGAGTTCCCATAGAGAATCGTGAAATCACTATTAGAGAAGTTAATAATAATAATAATAATAATAATAATAATAATAATGAGCATCTTATACACACGAATACTCACCGCAGTTGACCGAGTGTTCGAACGGATATATGAGCAGAGAGGGTCGAAGAGAGGAGTCGCTGGATGTATAGAGAACCTGCTCATCGATAGATGTGTAACGCAGGACTCGATACAATATAAGCGTAACCTCTCNATGTCCAGCATATGCGATCTCGGCCTATATCCATCGACATAACGCGGCCCTAAGAGTGCTATATTACCATCTACGGCACTCTTTCGGTATTGACGAGACACCGGTGTTGCCCTACGCTCCGGGGGATATTGAATCCGTTGTGGGGAACGAGAAGTGCCGAATTTATTGGAACTATTCGTTCCCCACCCTCAGGCTCATACAAGCTAATAAGCCTGATTATCTGCAACACATAATGTCAGTCTTTTTTTAAACGAATTCTTCACACGTGCCAGCATATCCTCTGGGATTTCATTGAAAGCTCTAGTGATTCTTCGTTTCATATCTTCTATAGATGTTGGAGAAGTTTGGTAGATAATTAATTTGCTATACCCCCCAAAAAAAATCCAATGGACCGAGGGAATCTCGTTGTGGAAAATTATCGAAGAAATGAAGGAAGTAATTGAATACATTAATAAAACTTTTGCACTAAGATATTTAAATCATTTATATTTTTATTAACATATCCCAAAACAACTACAACAATGTATCAACTTCGAATTACACTGAAATCGCTTTTTCCAAATGAAAAACAATGAACAAATGAAAGTAATTTGTTACCTAAAGAACTAAGACTTGTTCTTTCCATTATCGATGATGAGAACTTTATTCATAGAACGTAGGTCGATTCTTTCCGGATTTCGAAAAGTTGGTTTCTATTCCATTATTTCTTTGATAACTATTCACGTATCATTCCATATATTTATAAATTGCAATATTAAAGGAAACTGAACGCCTTAGAAGTAATTTTGAAGACAATTGGAAAACAATACCACAGCAGGATTGCGAATAATTGCGGTTGTTCTGCCAACTCTTGAACTTGACTGTAAATTAATCGAGAAACATCTCCTTGTACTTGACCAGTCTCTAGGAAGAATCTTCATCTCGATCGACTCTTTCACTTTCAAGGTCAGATGCGATAATCTCACCATTACCGACGAGTGTAGACCTAGATTTCTGTTTTATAGCCTTGCCTTATATGGTGTGTGCTGTTATATCACTTTCGATCCAGATTAGATAATTCTCTCATAGTTACTGTGTTATGTGAGTTGTACGTGCTGTTCAAACTGGGTTATGGGTGATTGTTACCATTTTTCAATTTCAAATGTGTAACCATTTTTTCGGTGAAATAGGATTTAATAAATGCTGCAAACTGGTATTTCCAATCATTTCAAAATCGATTTCGTAGGTTCCAGTATGTTCCAGTGTGTGTAATTAAAAGTACACGCCTTCATCATTTTGAATGATACTTTGTATGAAATGAGGAGTGTATAGAAGTTAGGAAAAGCAATCATAATCATCCATGAAATTTCAATGTGTCAATAATAACTTCAATAATCCCAAGAAACATATACAGGGAGTAAAAGCCAAATGGAATAAATTCATTTATCCGGTTACGATACATATTTTAACAAAATCTCAAAACACTTCAAGTTTAAATTATAATTTGACATACTTCAACGGGAAAATGTTACCCCTACCTTCAACCCCCTTCGAATGACAGTTACAACCACCAATTTTCCAAATAGGAAGTATAGGTTTGTGGATATATCGTTTGAAATGTCTCTTCATTCTCTATTCAAAAATGTTATCGCTTTCGAGTTTATTGCAACAATTGAGATAAAATAAATCAAACTCATATAAAACAGAATTTAATTAAAAACTTCCATCTTTAACTTTCAATTTGGTTGCATAATAAAACCATCATCCAAAATTATATCTAACTTTTCACTGGAAAATTCATCANATTTTTTTTTTTAGTTTTGCTTATATGCGCACTCAGTATTTTTGACCATTTAATAAATTTTGTTGTAAGTTACATTCGTTTAATAATCACCCGTCAATTTTTTTTGCACGAAGTCATTCTTGCGTGACTTTGAGTGAGGATTTCAACGTGATGGCCACAAACTTGGACACACATCCCTTCTCATCACATACAACAGTAATAATTTTTCGAAGAAAATCAATTTCAATCATTTCATTTTCATTTATGTTTCAGGCTTACCCTAAATATCAGTTCAACTATGGCGTTCAGGACGGCCACACAGGTGACCAGAAAACTCAATCAGAAGTTAGAGATGGAGATGTCGTCAAAGGACAGTATTCTCTCGTCGAAGCTGATGGTACAGTGAGAACCGTAACATACACAGCAGATGACCATAACGGTTTCAATGCTGTTGTGACAAGGTCAGGCCACGCTGCTCATCCTGCCACTCCTGTGGCTGTTGCATCAAAGGTCGTTGCTGCTCCTGCGTACACCACGCATGCTGTCGCGGCTCCTGCTTACACCACACATGCTGTTGCCACTCCTGCTTACACCACGCATGCTGTCGCCGCTCCTGTTTACACTACTCATGCAGTTGCCGCTCCTACATATACCACGCATGCAGTAGCGGCTCCTGCATATGCTGCTCCTGCCATAGGAATAGGTGATTTAGTTCTGAATGTTATTGTAGCCATGGGGAGTCATCAACTCGTTTGAGCATACTGAAATTGGATGACAATTCTGTTTTGGGTTTTTTGATAACTTTTCAATTAGGTTGTTTCAAAAGCTTTAGTGTAGATAGTCATTCAATTTGATCGCAATGTGAGTCATGTGCGCTTTTGTCAACGTAACACAAGTCGATTGACTCCATCAGCATAAACATTGGTTGCTCGGGATTTGGTCAATTCCGTCAGCATTAAAATTGAGGGTCGTTTCTGCATCGTCCTCATTAGCGAAGGTCCTATTGCTGAGAAAGTTAACGAGGTGCTTTAGAAGATGGTAGTCGGTGGCGAGAGGGTCTGAGGACAATGGTGGGAGAGGTAAAACTCTGACGCTAAATTTATTTGATTTTTGGAAGATGATATGTGGAACATGCAAACGGATGTTGTCAGATTTCTTCTGTTGACCAGTGTCGGCTGATGCTGACACAATTGTTAGTACATTTTATCGATTCCCGCTAACCACCATACAGTGAACATGTTTTTTTTGGTGGGTTTTCGCCTTTGGGAAGTGTCTGAGTGAGTCATCCGTATCCAACCACTGTCCTAAACGACTCCTGTTGTCGTAGAAGATCAACTTTTCATCACAAGTGACGATTCGATCCAAAAAAGGATTGTTTTGGTTTAGCAAAATCAGGTGAGAACAGACCTGACAATTTCTGTCGATCGTTCAAATCGTGGGGCACCCACTTTTCAAGCTTTTTGACCTTTCCAATTCGTATTTAATTTAGAAATCGCATGAGAGCCGACGTCTAGTTCTTCCGCCATCTCAAGCACCGTTTGTGATGGGTCAGTGTTCACCAAGGTCCTTAAATCCTTGTTCTGGATTACTGTTGGTCAACCACTTCGAAGTTCACCATTTCTGGACGGAAATTCTGAAGACCAACGTCGAATAGTGCGTTCGTTAAGACTATTATTGCCAAATGCCTAGTTAATTTTTTGGGCCTGTTTCGGAAGCGCTCGTAGAGAAAAATTGGCTGAAAATCGCTTAAGGCAAAGTGAGAAGAGGCAGAAATTAAAATTTGGAAAAAAATTAACAGCATCAAAGTACAACATTTTTTAGCGATCGGTATATACCACAAAACAGAAAAATGAATATATATATTGAGATGGGATTACAGAAGCCTATGGAATTAAAATGGACAAAATTTCTGAAACAACCTGATATTCACCTATTTGCTGGCATGCGTGTAAAAACTAACACTCCAAGATCACTACCCTCAGATGCTGTTATTCATTTGCAACTATCTTACAAGGAAGGGTTTTTTCTAGTTTAGAGATTGCTCTCGTTGAGCCTATTCCTTATTCCCTCGCTTTGCTATCAGGAATATCAAAATCAATCATACAAAGAGCCGTAAAACCATCATATCCTTGAATATTTGGAGGGCTTCAACATCTTGAGTGATCATTATTATGGCTTTCGGAAACAAAGATCAACAGGCGACCTTCTATCGTATATCACCCATATTTGGAGTAACGCCACCAAGAAACATGGAGAGTAGAGAGCTGTTGCGCTTGATATTTCTGAGGCCTTTGACCACGTGTGGCATAAGGGTTTGCTGGCCAAACTTCGATGGTACGGCTTGTCGAATCATTTTGTTTCCAATCACCTTTATTTACTGGAGAAGATGAAGAATCCAATATATTTATTGTCCCGATTAGTGGATTACTACTAACAGAGTTTAATTACCTATACGGATCACTGCAGAACCTTCTGCAGAAAACTAAAATCATAAAACACGGAAAAATATTCAAATCAGAGGCACGAAAAAATACCGTGAGCATCCCACTGGGAAGTGTAGCCGGTCCCATGCTTCTTATTATTTTCATGGATGATATTTTAGAAATCCTAAATAATGACAGTGAAACTTCTCAAATCACCAATTATGCTGATGATACAAATATGTTAGTGTCAAGTCACAACTATCCAAGCTTAATTATAGAGTCGAGTAACCTGGTTATCAAAGAACAATTTTATTCTGAATGTTGAGAAAACGAATGTTATTTTATTTAGAATGGCACAGCAAAGAATTGAACCACCAAGTACAATTAATCAGTCAAACAATGAACTTGCAGTTCAGAACTCAACAAAATTTTTTGGAAGATAGACCAAGTCATAATTATCCTAAGCGCAATATGAATATATATTTTCGGATTCACAAATTGACAGCGTCTATAAGGTTTTTTAATAAATTACCACAGAGACTTAAAATGTTAGAGAGCCTAGAAAAATTCAAAACAGGTGTCAAAAAGCGTTTGACCAAGTTAGAAATTTATTCACTTCAGGAATATCTGATAAGTTATAAACATGTTTGATGTTTTCTTTATGAAATGTAGAGTATTCTCTGAAATATTTGATATTATTATTATTATTTCTTATTTTTTCAGGTCATGATCTTGGACTTGGATATCATTAACTCCTTTCAACATCCATTTTCAAACACATTGCTCTACAGCAGCTTCAATCAGTAGAAAACTAGCCCAATTTGGTTTCTATGGTTGTATTGCAGCAAACAAGTATTTGCCTTACATTAAAGCAAAATTTGTATGATGTGAAATGTGTATTTTCGTATTTCGGAAAAATCATCACACTTCTCTATTTATTTTATAATTTTTAGTAATGATTTCTTTCGAAATACTTTGGATTCGACCGCTGTGCTAAATGTATTTTGTTTGTTTATACCATGTTGTTCTTCTCTGTGCTTGTATTTTGTTTAGTATGTAAATATCATTTAGTGGTAGTTTATCTGTCACGCAGTATTGTTTTCATTATCATGTTTATATTAATAAATATATCCCATTCATGAATACAGTTCCATTTATTTTGATAGTACTTCAAAATCACGTTTTTAATGCAAAAAAACAATCAATTTCAATTGATATGAATGTTGACAACTTTAAATTTTTGTACCTTCTATTAAATTCCCCTCCAAGCATGCAAAAGAATACTCTTACTACATTGATTCTAATATTTCGACGAGTTATATTGCCATCATCAGGGAAACTGAAATAATAAAGATATAATGCTAACATAATGTTGATTTTGAAAAAATACTTACAAAATCCATGAAAAAAAACTAATTTATACATTTTATTGTGTGATTTTCACTGTAAAGGGTTATAAAGATTTTATTAATTAGTTTTAATTTGGATTTTCATCGAGTGTCGGCCAGTTCTGTTCAAAAATCCATGAAGTTGTTTACAAATGGTGTGAAGTTTAAAATATATGAGCACAAAAAATCTTTCGTAAAGTATGAAAATTAATATACGGTTACCACGTTAAATTTTTTTTGAAAAGATCGTCATATAAATGATTCAGTGAAAATGAAGTAGTGAATATGCAAAATTGCGATCGCAGTAACATGATTATTCGAAAAATGAAAAACTGATTGATTACCAAGGTCAAATTTATTCGCAGTAATGCCAATACACGTAAACAAACAATTCTAAAACAGTACCAAAGAATACGAAGTCAAAGTTTAATCAATGAGATTGACAGATGTGTCAAATCTTTTGTATTACATTGAACACTTAATTTTTTAAATTTTCATTGTGTTAATAGATTTCACAATATATGTATTGAAATTTATGTATACGATTTTGACTTGATGATCCATCATTTCCTTGATCCAGATGCAACAGATAAGAATATGTTTGTTTGAAGGTGATTGACAATGTTTCGTGATGAATTTCACTAGTTCGGACTTCCATTGTCTACTATATAAAATGATTTGAAATCCCTGAAACAAGTAAAAAAGAATAATTAAAAAAGAATTCTAAAGAGCGATATACGGTATAAGTGAGATGAAATTTGTGAATGTGATTAAAAATTTGTAAAAATGTGTCCATTCATATTCGACATATATGGTTTATATATTCATTTCTTCTTCTGATTGAAAAAATCATTTATTTCTTCTCTTTGTCAATTTATCGACAGGAAGTGAAGAATATAGTGTCAGTACTAGATAATTATAATGACGCTGTCCTATTGTTTTTCTCAGCGTAGTACGCTTAACATATTATATTTATTACTGATATCATGTTGGTGTGCCACAAATTTGGAAGGATCATATTTGGATCATAGCGAAACAAAAAAGTTGCCTGGCTTTCATGTTAGGAATCACACGTTGAAAGGTAAGACCTCGTTAATCCTTAGCTCGCACAAGTGATTGTCATTTACACCACCCCAACCTATGGTGCCGTAGTTGAACAAAATCAGAGAAATGTGTATGTTATGAATCAATACGTTGAACTTATTATGGATAATCATCCAGCATACATGATGAAATTCCAAATGACATTAAAGAAATACAATTCTCAAGTTTGTTTGAGAAACTGTAAAAACCTGAATTATTGAAACACCTAGACATGATTATCATGATGCGCTAGTATTATTGCATTTATTGCTTCTACTAACTTTCTACTGACCTTCAAAACAAGCTGTTGAAATTTCATGATACTCTACTAAGTTTGTGTGTTACTGTGCTGAGTTTCACAACTTTTTTTGTTTTCAAAACAAAATACTTCTTAATGGGAAAAATACCGTTGAAGCGAAGCAATGGCTTGAAAAGTGTTATAAAGATCCCACTTCATCAGAAACAACAATTAAACGTTGCTTTGCTGACTTCAAACGTGGTCGTGGAGACACCGATGACGTAGAACGCACTGGACGTCCAAATGAGGCAGTAACATCAGAAAACATAAAAACACACATATTCGTTTTGAATAATCTAGAAGTGAAGTTGCGTAGTAAGCTGACATTGTGGAGATATCAAAAGAAAGTTTTTGCTTTACATTACATGAGCATTCAACTATGAGAAAGCTCACTGTTAACCAAAAACAACAACGTTTTGATCATTCTGAGCAGTGTTTGGCCATGTTTGAACATAACAAACCAAAATATTTGCGTCGATGTGCGACAGTGGATGAAACGCGGATCCATCACCCCACTCTGGAATCAAAACGATCGTCATCTGAGTGAAGAGCAACTGGTGAACCTCGTCCTAAGCGCCCGAAAGCACAACAATCGACTGGGAAAATTTTGGCCTCGGTATTTTGAGATGTTCGTGGTGTAATATTCATTGACTATCTTGAGAAGGAAAATACCATCAACAGTGATTATTATTCAGCGTTACTGGAGTATTTGAACACCGAATTTGCAAAGAAACGACCACATCTGACATGAAATGAATTTCGAATTGCTCCCACTTCCATGGTATTCGCCAGATTTGGTTCCCAGCGACCACTTACTGTATGCAGACCTCAAAAATGCTCATCGGTAAGAAATTTTGCTCGAATGACGAGATTATTGCTGAAACTGAGGTCTATTTTGAGGCAAAAGATGAATCGTTCTACGAAAGTGGTATTGAAATGTTAGAGCGGCGCTGAAATGATCATCTGTATCTCGACGGAGATAACGTTGACGAATACAGCCAATTTTGAAAAAAAAAATAGCATTTTCCCATTAAGGCCCGGGATTTTTCAACTTATGATAATTTTCTATAACTTAACTTGCTAAGGTTGTATTCGTTTATTCATCATTTGAATATATTGCAATAATAGTTCTCATTTATATTTAGCATATTTTATAATATGTCATTGGATTCAGAAAATTATTAGAATTTCAAAGATATACAGTGTGTTCCATAAGAAAATCTAAAGTTGATGTTATTTCGAAACGAAAGTAGGTGGAAAAATTACCAACAAATCAAAATGTGATTTTTAGTTTTCATAATTGATGGTCAGAAACCGAAAATATTTCAGAGAATAACGTATGTAATACCACACTGAACACTGAAATGTTTTTTAGAACATATACCATGAGAAAATTTTTGTGCGTAGGCTGTTTCATATTAATTCAAACAAGTGATCATTCTGATTTTTTCAAGGACGTTATTGAAAAAAAGCTTCATTTATTTCAGTCTGTATTAACATAAAAACGATCTTGAAAGAAAAAAGAGAGTGAAGAATGAAAGCCAAGAGTTTATATTTTGAATAAACTTCAAATACGATAAATTGCCCAATACCCCATTTTCCTTATTTGTTGTGTGACCTCCAAACTAATTAGTGAAAAAGAACAATATTTTAGTTCGATCAAAATTTACCGTTGCGGCAGCAAAGTCCTTCAGCATTTGTGAGTCCAGTTGATTGGATATGTAATTAACCAAACTACTTCACTATTGACTAATACAAATTTAATCACAAAATAACACGGTTTGAAATAGTCTTTCAATAAATAGTTAGGATATTGCAACAATATTAATTACTACCGCTGGCCTCTATTTAATGCTAGCCGTGAATGTTTCAGAAACAGAGACACAATTGGCGTCTTACAAGTTTTTTTGTTCAACACTGACCATTTCATTCATTCTTTGACTTTTGAGAGCTTATTTAAACTGTATTTAAACAACCAGTGTTTTCATTGATATCCAAGAAAACTCTCTTATTTTCTTAACGGAGGAGTGTAAAAACAAAAAATGGTTTTCCTAAAAATCATTTTCCGAAAAATGGTATGTAACAACTGAAATGTTACAAATGGTTCCTTTTCTAAGAGTTATATAGATGTCTTCTACATCTCCTCACATTTCCGTATCTATCATTCTCTCTCAAGATATCATCTGTGATATTTATGAAATTCGAAAAGGAGGCGCAAACTTAAAGAATCAGCGTATATTCTTATTTTTGTAGAGAAGTGCATTTTGAACAGCTACTGGATATTGGTGGAATTGCAACAGAGAACATCTTGTACGGAATCGAATGTTCCAGAAGTCAATTATCATCATTGATATATTTCACATTTCAAAATTCCTTTGATATCCGTCGGTTAAGTTTGATAATAAAGCTAAGCAGTGAAGAAAAAACTGTATAATCAGATTTTTTATTTCTGAAGACGAAGTCTAATTTTAGCCTCTGAAACGTCAAGATATGTATCTGTATAATTTCTGTCTGTTTACCAGGGTTTTGCTCGTTGAATAAAATTGATGTTCTATTAGCAATTTGGTCGTTGCCAAAAAATAAAGCAATAACTGCAGCAGTAGTGTAAAGCATTTTTAAACAAATAACAATAAAGACCCGTTTAAACAAAACAATCGAACGATGTACTAATGAAAACTGGAAGAAGAGGAGTGAGTATTGATTTCAAAAAAGGGTTTTTATTTAACGAAAAACTGATAAGAAGAACTGCTCGAAATTTTTTTTATTCAGGCATACAAGTTACCGAGTGGTCTGTCTAATGTATTATTACCATGGAAATTTTAACTTGAAATTATCTCGAAAACTAATCGTTACAAAAATTTTCTTTCAACATAGTTGTAAATGTATTCGAAAGACCTTTAAAACAAGGTGCCACTCGACCTACTTTCCCTATCTAAATAAGGGTCGTCGGACGCACCCCTCAGGGGGGTGTGTACTACAAAAAATCCGATTAGTCTGAAAGGTATCCCCCTTTAATTAGAAATCGACTTGCCCGAGCTTTTTTTAAAAATCTTACTTTTTATATTCATTTTTCGTAGAGTGGATATGAAAAACATCAGTATGTTTTTTGCATACATCTTTGTGAAATCCATTATGTTCGCATCTGTGAATAATTGTTTTCTGGAATATATGGAAGCATAGCCTTGTGACAATATGCCTTGGGTACCGATAGCTTTGGTTGAGGCACATCACTGCTGGCCTTATCGCGGTAGTCGTTCATAGCGCAGCTGCGAGAGAGTAGTATTCGTGGATATTTGGGATACATATCTGGCATTTGAAGTTGTCGGTAAACTCAATGTGACATCCGTGC